AATTTCCACCACCATATACACATATACCATCAACTTGCTGAAGAAACCAACCAGTGGGGCAGAAAACAGAGCATGTTGAATGGGAAAGCCTAGAGATCATGTATGGAGAATATCAGTCCTAATTCCAGGATCTCTAAGAGCCAGCATCTTCACCTCTACCCATCTGCCTTTTTGGGGGACATCCTAGATGACTGTATTGGCAACATCATGCTACTGCTATAAAAATTCCAGATGGAACTGCCTAAAAGCTGCACTGTTTCTTGGTTCCTAAAAGAAGCCAATAGCCAGAAATTAGAGACAGACAGAGTTCAGCTAAATTAAAAGAGAAACCTCCAACAGTGAGGAATTTTCAAAAATGGCAGATTCTCCCTGGCAAGAATTGAGGTCCCTAGGGTGGAAGTTTATAAGCAGAGGCTGGGCTATCATTTGACTCGGAATTCCATCACTCGTGAGCTTACTTTTTTGCTGGGATTAGGAAGAAGGGGATACAAAAGGTAAATATGGCAAAAGGCACCTCTGATTGCAGCTTGGATGTACCCCCACATTGTTCCAGAGCTCCGAGATGCTCCCTCCACGGTGCAGTGTAAGGACACAGGCTCCAGCCTTTCCCAAGATGTGGTGAAGAGTGAGCCTGTGCTGCCTGCAGAGCATGGGTGGTCCCAGCTCTCCTGCCTCTGGAAGTCTACTGTCCAAGGTAAATTAGTGTCGGCTGAACCTTAAATCGCAGGGCAGGACTCTGGAATGCTTTCACCACCAACTTTCTCCATCAGCATTTAGGGCTAATGGGAAAGTCACTGTTTTTTTTTTAAATTATTATTTGTTTTTACATTTTGGGGTTAGCTTTACTGCTGTAGAAAAGTAAGATAAATGGCCCCACAATTATGGAGAAGGACTGGTGCGCAGACTGAAACGTGCCAAGTTTATGAACGGGAAATTGAAGCCAGCGGTGCTTCTCAGTGACCCAGATGCTCCCAGATCATGAGGTCTCTCTGCATCTGAGTCCCCTCATTTTTCTCTTTTGTCCCAGAAAATCACACGTGAAAGGTAGAGCTACATTTTATCAAGAAGTCATTCCTCCCTTGTTTGTTGACATTACATCATAACCATCACAGTGGCCACCTGCATCCCCTATTTATATTCTGTCCCTCCTAAGAGGAGGGGTGTATCCACTCTTTAGCTACTCCCTCCTCACTCTTTCCATTGCTGATTCTCCAGGGAGGGCTCACAGTTGCTGATATTGTGCTGATGGTGCCCCGGCTGGCATCTCATCTGAATAGTCGGTGCCGTGTTGGTCATTAGGTATTTAAAATGCATCCCTTGCCTGGCGCCAGCCCTCACTGCCTCTTCCTCTCCATGTGTACAGCTGTCTCCCTGTTCTCCACGTGTCGTCAGTCGCCCAACCACAAAAACCTTTCTCCAGTCGAATTGGACAATGCTTCACAGAGCCCTGGACCCGGCATTTACCCAGCTCGTGAAACTCTGACATTTCCCTTTGCCTTTCAGTCTTGGCCATTCACAAGCTGGCCTTGACCTCCCTTCTCTAACCTCAGTCTCCGTGACTTCTTAACTTGACTTTAGGCACACCTGAGTGTTCCCAGTGTGCCTCCCGCCTACCGCTGAGCATCCTCCACCTGGTATTGCCAGAGGTGGCCATCCTAAATTCCACATGAGGCTGAATTCTGTAGGAGAAAGAGAAACATCTGATTCTTCCCTATATCCCCAAGCCACTCTGAAGGCCCAAATACATTGGTTTTTCTCCCTGCCCTTTTCTCCCCACACTTTTCCTCAGGCCACTTGCAATGCCAATGGCTCCCATATATTGTCTAAAGCACAGATCACTCCTGAACAGCAGACCTATTGTCTTCCGAAGCATCTCCTGCCAATGGTCCACAGGCAGTCCTGGCTAACATCTGTAGACATAAACCAAGCACCTCCTGTTCTGCCCCCACCTCATGTATGTTTTGATTCTCCTACAGTCTTTACCCAGGTGGAGGGTCTTGAAGCCAACATCCCACCTCTTCTCGTTGGTCCATTCTTCTCCTTCATCCCCATTTTCCAACATCTTGATATCTTCTGTATTTTCCTAATAGTCTCCATCTTGACATCTTTTGTATTTTTCCACTCCTCACCAACTCCAAATCTCCTAAGTGCTCTTGGAATTCACTAAAATCATTCCACTTCTTAAAATGCTCTGAAGACTTCCAGTTGCAAATAACTATTCTTCTCAAACTGAGTTACAGGGACTCCTGGGTGTTACTTCTTTGGGTTCCAGGACACTTGAAACTTCTTGAGAGATGTGGTTTGTTATTCTGGAGAATCAAGTTTACTTGATGCTTAGAACTATTTTTAAATATTAAAACAAGTATCAATGTATTACAAAGTCACAGATAAAATGGGAATATTTTAAGATTTTGTAAGATAAATCATGTACACAGGGTTACCTTTTAGCTATGACCTAAGACCCTTAGGGGGTATGAGATCATTCTTCTTAGCAGTTTGAACTTCCAGTGAAATACAAACTTCCCAGTACATCATGCAAGGCCCCGGAGATCTGGCCCTCTCCATCTTTCCAATCTTATTTCTTACAGTGTCTTTTCTCAAAGTCCATACTCTGGTCACACTTCATCCTGCCATGTTTTTGTTAATATAGTCTTCGCCGCCAAGATTTTGCTTCCCTCATTCCATTTTATGTGACCAATGTACGTTTATTCTTCTAGGTTCAGCTACATGTTTACCTCCTCTCTGAAACCTCTATTCTTTCCTTCCCAAATGGAGTAGAATTGATTCTTCTCTCTCTTATGTCCCCAGGGTCTCTCTTTCCCCCAGCTTCCTAATAAATTCATTTTGTGTGAAGTTAATGTTTTAGCTTTTGTGTCTCAAACACTGGCAAGAAATTCTTTCCTAACTATTAATGTTTCTGGGGATTGATGAAAGCAACATCTAGCTAAGGCACCTCCCTACTAGACAGCCCCTCAGAGGTGACTCTTTACGTACAAAGGTCACACTCTAGTGATCTTGGCTCTATCTATTGGGTCACAGCTCTGGCGTTAAACCCCAAGATGATCATTTTCCAGCTGTAGTCCCTGGGGCCACCACCAGAGGGACCCTGCCCAGGGCTTGCTGACAGGACCTGTCTTGATCTCTCCTTCCATGAACCCACTTGCCACTGGGGTCTTCTCTCTCTCATCCCCATCTCACTTGTTTTGGCTGTTCTTTCCTCTTTGGATATGAAAAAAATTAAACAAGAACTCTTTTATCTTCCTTTAGAAGACTGTCTGCATCAAAAATTAGGTATTTGCAACTACTTAGAACCCAGCACTGCCCCTAACCTACAGCAGGTGCTTACTAAATGCCAGTTGGTTGGATGTATGAAGAGACAACTGCAGTGCAGATTTTTAAAGTCAGTCCCAGAGAACCTACTTCTCTATTAAGTTCCTTCTCGGGAAGAGGGAGACTCTTGGAGCTACAGTCTTTCCTTTCATGCTATAGCTCTGCCTTCATGGAAAGGACAGTACGAACATCTATGAGGCTCACCAGGTTGAGAAGTTAGCTTTTGGTTATCCCTGGCCTGTGTGATGCAGGGATGAATATGACTCCATCTGAGGACCACACATGTACCTAAAATCCAACAGAACATCTCTTTCTTCCCAATCACTCGATGTACGATGTACCCTCTTGAGAAAGATTCGTTCATCCTACTGTCTTGATCAACCCACATCACAACTAGCCCACTCTCCCAGAGTCCAGGGTTTTCTCTGTTGTATCATTTTCAAGCTCATTTTCTTTTCTTTATGGGACCAGTAGCCCTCCTATAATATCAACATTACAGGTCTTCATGTGTACTTGAGTGACTCCAGGTTTACACAGTTAACTAGAAGATAATCAATGCTGTAGCTGTGGTAAATGAAACAAGCAATAAACCCATCAATAGAGAATATGAGTTCTCATTGGGAGGGAGAGGAGTGGAGAGGACATCTTCACCAAAGAGGTGATATTTGAACACAAAGATGGGAACGTAGCAGAAGAAAGTGGAAAAAGAGGATGAAGAATTCATCCTAAATGGAAGGGATAAAAATATACAGAGAAACTCAGGTATCCCTTGCCTTTCCTTCTGTCCAAAAATTATAAACAAGATGCAGTTATTTGCAGACATTAATGTTTTTTCCTCTTTCCAGGGGTAATTTTATACCTTTATGGAAAACCTTTAAAAGCCTTTTATGTATTAGAATTAAAAAGTCTATAAGAAAAAGATAAACACGTAGGACCAAGGTTATCTCAGACAATTCAGAGCAATTTAAATCACCATCTGGGAAGACTGTCAGCTGACAGATCCTTCTGCGGCTTCCTTCTCTGCCAGCAGAGTCTCCTCCCTCGTGCAGACCCACGTATGCACATGCTGAGGACGGTGGGGCTGGTCTGCCCGCTAGCGGGCTGGACAGCTGCTGGCGATTGCAATGGCTTCTAGTGGAGATGTGGCCGTGACTTGGAAATCCCCTACATTGAGGTCCTCGTGGGATGACATCATGCACATTCTGTGTCGTGATGTGTTTCAAGTCTGTGAGTGTGAACTTTCTTTATGTACAGGAAGCAAAGGAAGGAAAGTGAATTCAAGAAAACAATGGCAATCTTAAAAAATGGGTCAGATTTTAGACAAGCATATGCCAGCCTGTTCTATATTTTTACTTATTTGGAAAGAGTGCTGTTCAGTGGTCTTGACCAACTCCCTCAGAGGGAGTGAGGGCCTCTTTGGTGCCTTTTCTGTGGAGCTTCGTGGTGAAGTTTGATGAAGTGAGCTCCAAGGAGCCCACAGGCTGGCGCACCACAGGGAAACCAGAGAAAACTCCGCTTTTAAAGGGCTCATGTGATTGGGATAGTCCTACTCTGATGCTCTCATTAACCTTATTAACTACATCATTTAATCCTCACTGGAGGGCTTTAGTTCACCTGAGAAAACAAGCTCAGAAAGCCTTTCTTGCCGAAGCCCTCAGCCCTAGGAAGAGAGGGGACAGAAAGCTAACAGGTTCACTGGCTGCCAAATGCCACGAGGGAGCGAGGACAAAGGAGAAAAGAATGCGGTTGGGGGAAAGGACCAGTGCGTCCTTTGAGATAGTCCCTGTTGCGGCATGTCAACATCTTTGACCAACAGTTGATCCCAATAAGGGGGCCTGGGGAGATAAAGAGAGTCATAGAAATCATATGGTAAAAAGCGTTAGGGCTTAGAGATGTAATGAATCAATACAAAAAGAAAACGATCACGTTGGGAGAAAAGAAATAGCTTCCCCAACATCCAAACTCAACAAAATTGCTTTTGATTCAGACTTCCACTCTTTAGTCCAAATACTACATCATGTCAGAATATTCCTGTCTTGAAATGGTAATCGAATAATCTTCCAAACCCTCAGGGAGATGGAGCATCATTTGTTCCCTTCACCTTCTGCCCTTAGAAAATACAGTCTTTTTGGAAAGTTATCTTTGGCTCCTTGGATTTCAGCACCGAGGGAATGGCATCCTTGGCGTGATTCAGACACTCTCCTCCATCCTGCTCAGCCCCAGCTCCAGGCAGCCACCTCTTGGCCTCAAGTTTTTAATCTTGGTGGGGTAAGCTGGACCCTTCACCTTCTTTACAAATCATGACGGGTATGTGAACAGGGAGGCGGTCCCCTGTAAGCTGGAAATAATGTTCTTGGCTGCTGCCTCCTTCTCTTTCTCTTTTAGTCCTGAGGGACTTGGCTTTTTTTTTTCACTTCTGTAAGATTTAGGAGTCTTGAGGTTTAATTGCAAAAAGAAGAATTCGGTGTGGTTTGAGAAGGCAAGTCACTTTGAGTAATTTAAACCCTCAGTTACCCAAACACAAAGGCTGAAGGACCTCTTAGCAAACTGGCCCCATGCGATCAAGTTTTTGGCAAAGATTTTATATCTATCCTGCACACTGCCTGTATTTTTACCTAGCAAGTTCAATAGTCGTCTTCTCCGGTCAGCCTGACCCTGCTAGTTTATCTTCCTAGGTGTGCGCTATATGCATGTGTGTGCAGACATGTGTTCACATGAGCATATCTGTGTACACGGGGTCACGTCGAGAGAAGAAAGGCTCCGGTTGTTTACTAAGCCTGTAGCAAAGGAGGTTCAGGGATAATTAAGAGAGCTCTCCCTTGGCAGAAAGTGCCTGTTTGGGTCTGCTTCTCATTTGGGACAATTGGAAAAGGCAATCACTCAAGTTTTATTGATGCCAAAGACTTTTTCACAGTCATCAATATGGGCTACAAAAATGAAGTTGTTGACATCTTATTTCTGGGGGCTTTTCTTTCAGATAATTGTGAGCCCTCAAGCATCGTATATTCTGAAATAAGGCAGTTCCAGCCCATAACAGCATTTTCCATGGACTGCCTGCAATTGATCTCACCAACATCCTGCCAAATCCCAGGCCGATTGCATCTGTGTCTATCAAGCCCATTCAGGTTTCTCCCTCTGCTCTAAGCTGCTCCGACCTTGATTCACTCCAAAGAGCGTAAGATAAAGGTTACATTGCACACGAATGCTTTTAGCCTTTTATTAACCTTATGTATATATTTTGGATGTGAATGCTGAGGTTGACGTAAGTAGACTTTGGCCTGCTCAGTTGAGTCTTCTGAACTGTTTTGGGTTCCCTCCTGGAGTGATCTGGGCTCTGAGTGCCAGTTGCAAGCTCCTGCAGGTCCTTTTTCACTCCAGTCTACTAAGGTTCCCAGCAAGTGCTCATCTGCTTTGATGGGGCTGGAAAAGACACCCTTCCTCCTATTTGTGGAGTGACAGCAGCTGGTCCAGTGCTCTTGGCGGGCAGCCTTCTGTCTCTGGTGTGAGAAGGCCAGTCTGTGTGCCAGGTGCAGCCAAGATGCAACTGGGGGGTTGGCTCCTCTAGTCGAGGGCGTGGGGCAGAATGGACTCAGCATGACCCAGCATGAGCAGGGCCGTGGTGCCTGTCCATCCAGGTGGAGGAAAGCCAGGCTGATCTCATGAAGGGGGTGCTATTCCCTGGGCCACCTGCCCTAGAGATCAGACTTCAGACCAGGTGCACAGGAAGCTGAGTCACGAGCAGCCGCCATGGTTGCTCCCGGCTCCGAGGAATATAGGGAGGCTCATTATGACCCGCAATAGTCCACACCATAAAAGTACAAGTATTTACTATCCCAGGAAGGAAATGGAGTGACCCACGCGATAACATTAGCCCCGGCGTAACTCTCTGAAAGTCGCAATTTTAGCCATATCTTGTTTAAAAATAAACAGCTAAATGGAATAATAGGAAACACTAAATGGATGTGTCAGGCTCTAGTGATGATCTCACTTGTGTTCTATCATTACGAAAACTGAAGCCATTTGAGAAACTGAAGTCTCCCTTTGCGAAATTACCCTCCATGGTTGCTCTGATCAATCTTCACTGGAATCTATGTGCACATCGTGTGCACATCTAATTCTCCTTTTTATGAACATGGAGCTGAAGGTTAAATAAAATTCCCAAGACCACGTTTAACAAGATCTGGAAATTTTTCTCCAATCAGCCCCGCCTCTATCACTCACCTAAATATGTGTTTCTCCTTCCAGATGGAGATAGTGCAATCCATTGCCATGGTGGTAAAGTCAGAAATCTTGAAGCATCTTCGCCGCCCAGATCCCAGAACTCCAGCCAGCACGGGGACAGCCAGCGTGGCGGTGGGGCTGGGAGGCTGGGAAAGCCTGGGTGGTCCGACACATCCCAGCTGAATGTTTAAACGCTGACTTCACCCGAGGAGCTGCCCTGGTCATTGGGGTAGAGAAACTCCTCCTATGAGTGGCTGATCAGAAAGGGCATTTAAAAGAAACCACTTGTAAATGGTTAATAGGTCAAACTCTTGTCCTGCTGGCCTACAGGTCTGGATTCATGAAATGCAAAATGACCCTGAAAAAGCTTTAATATTCCTGCAAGATGCCAAACTTTGTTTGTGAGATGGTTGTTCTTTGCCTTGCTCCTAATACCACTTACAAAATGTCCTGTATCAATAAATATTCCTTTCATGCCCATAGCCACAGAAGTTAAAACTCCTGTGGAAAAAACAAAAAACAAAAAAACCTAGGTGTATAAATAAACATATTGCCTGCCGAAGGCCAACACAGATTTTTATTTTATGTGCTCTGGCCACAAATGATGGACTGTGGGTCTGAACCTGCCCCAAGAAGCTGTCTTTAAGTTTTTTGTGCAGTTACTGATGCAACAGCTCTGCCCAGCAGCATTGCCCCATGTGGCGTCATATAGACTCAGTCAAAGTCTGTTTTTTCTGGATTTTGAAAATGACACAGGGATGCAGACGTTGGAATAGTGCACGCCGGATGACTCACAGAGAGAGAGTATATGGGCTGAAGACCTCAGGTGGCAGAGCCAGTGGGAGCAGAGGGGCATTTGACTGGCAGCAACAAAGAAGGTACGGAGACAGAGAAGAGCTGAGTTGCCACGAGGGGGATGCAGGCGTGGGGCGCAGGGGCTCTGCTGCAGAGGGGTGAGTGATGTCTCATCGCAGCTGGGCTGCATTTCAAACGTTTTTGGTTGGTGGATGGTAACTTTCTGTCCTCTCCTCCCTACGTGGCTGGTAGCATTAGCTGACATTTGTCTGTCATTTGAGACCATCTCCACTGCTTGTGAGCTGGGAGATCCGAACCACTGCAGTGAGATTTCCTCACGGGAGGCATATTGGAAATGAAATCTGAAATTTGCCTAGGGTTAGACAAGATCAACAGCTCTTAATGATCTATTGGACGTGGACGGAGAGCAAACAGGAAAGGTAAACCCTGATGTCTGGCCTCTGCTTGGCCACAGCCACAGAGGACCAGGCGTAGAGCACAGATGCGGGGGGCAGGTCTGGACCTGTTTGGATGCTTCGGCCTCAGGGTGAAGATGACATGCATCGGAAGTCCTTTTTGGGTTCTTCTTCTTGCTCCCTTTTTTCCCCTTCCCTCCTCTTCTCTTTTGCATGGAGACAATGCATTGAGTGTTTCATCAGCTTCCCTGGTGTTTCGACTTCAGGCCTCCTGGTCCATTCCTCTGAGGAAATTTGTGTTGTCATGTTTCTGGCTCAGAGCAAGGCTCTTTCAGGATAATGAGTTGGCAACGCCTGGAAGTGGAGAAGTCCTGCCAGAGTGTTCTGAGTTCAGGGGGAGTGCCTGAGTCATTTCTGAGCTCTGATCCATGATCTCGAGGGCAGGAGATCACAGAAATTGATAATTGGCGTCTTTTCTGAAGTCAATTTCCCTCTGAAGGTCAGTAGTGAAA